TATAGGCTGAATGAAAAGAAAAATAAAATCAGCCTGGAAGAGAGGGAGTGGTTGCTTTTCACATATTTAGAAAGTTCTAGAGCTTTTCCCTAGGGACCCTACCAGGACTTCCCAGCTGTTGGTTCACCTCTGCTGCCTGTTTTCCAGTGCATACAGCAACATCTGGATATAAATGTAGATATAAACTCAATCTGAGGCCTAGAAATCTTCCTTTTGGCAGTTTCCTTGATGCTTTCAATGGAATCTAAAGTTGCTGTTAGAGTGTTTGTTGACAGAAAGTTTAACATTATTGAAGTGTGTACCCTGAGTACTAATGCCCCACAATCTTCTATACTTCCTGCACTCCCAAGAGTAGGATGGGGGCTTGAAGATGGCCATTTTGAAGACCAGCAGCTGTCAGGGAATTAACAGAAGTGCTTTCTGAGTCATCTTCAGAGACCTACTTGCTGTCTTCCAGTTTTTGACTTGTCGTGGATACCAGGAGTGATTCTTTACCTTAATTCTGGGTCAGGTTTGTCTAGTAAAGATTGCAGTGAAATTGCATCCCCTGATAAAGGTGGGTCCTGAAGCAGGTCCCTCACCTGACTCTGCCCCCTTGCAAGCACCTGCTTTAACCACTATGTTCTGCTCCTAGCTCCTGGCTTTACTACCACTCTTATAGTCTTACCTTGTCTTACTGGTATACCAAAATATTCTCTAAACTTCTCAGATGCACCTAAGCCTTCCACTGAAATGTCAGTGCAAAGAAAGGTAGTTTGGTGAAAACCTGTGAGGAGTGTACATTTGCCCTCTTTCATTGGCCATTAGGAATTTATTTTCAACTAAACAAGCTGGGAAATGTAATTAAGCACATGGTTGATGGTGATAGCCAAGTGTGCATGCCAGAAAAACAATAGGTTCTTTAAAGATGCCAAGGACTGATATTATGCATCTTCTCTTGGAAACTGTATACACTTCACAGTCCTGAGCCTCCTGTGAGCCGCTTCATATCTTCAATCAAATTATTATATTCCAGAAATATGCATAAGGGAAATGATTCTACACATTTTATGGTGGGTTGTTGCTAGTAGCAGTAATTGAAGTACCTTTTCCACTTATGAAAGTACTAATTTTATTTGTTTTTATTGCTTTTCGAGATGCAATTATTTATTTAGTGTGCTTTGGCTTTATTAAATTATGTTTACTATAGGAACATCATAAAAATGTATGAAAACAACATATCAGCCAAGCCAGCCTGGTGACCTGTATTGAGAAAGCTAGTGTTATTTTTCATATCCAAACGTAATGGAATAACTTAAGAATAAACAGATAATCTACGCTAGAAAACAATGCAATTTCAAGGTAATGTAATAAAACACCTGGACAATAAGATTTTATAAATCTTGGTTCTAAAATTTACATGAGTTGGGTTTTACGTGCTTATTTGAGGACACATGGCATTTCTAAATGGAATCATTATAATGGGAAATGTAATTAAGCCGAAAGGCAAGAATGTAAACAGAGTTTTTGTTGGCTTGTAAGATATGGATGACTAAGAAGCAATGTAAAGACCTTTGGTGTCAAAAGACAAACAAAAGGCTTTCATTCCTATAAATGTCCTTTACTTTGAAATTGAAAAATGGTTAACAATTTGTACAGATTACTTGGCAGTCAACTGGACCAGAAGTGCTGGCTTTAAGGAGTTCTTTATGTAATCTCTTTGTCTCTTGCTTCCAGTTCCTTCTAGAATGCTTCATCTCAAAAGAAAAGAGGCATTTTGCCTTTGGCATTCTTTTTAAGAAACTTAAATGAAATGCAAATGAATGATTTGTTCTGAATTTACACAAAATAACAACATAAAGGCACAAAACTTTTTTTAAAAGCAAAAATCTAAACAACAAAACCAAAGCCAAAAGTAAACAAAGCCCTAATTCTAACATGAGAGATTGTAGAGAGCAGGGCTGCTTAAATGAAAATAACTATATGACTATAAATTAATGATCAACTTTTATTTTTCTAATTATGAATCAAAATTAGTTCTTGTTCAGATTCATGTTCCTGCTACAAAATTCAAAAGTTACCAACAAATGTACACAATAAAGAGTGAGTCTCCTTGCAGCTATTCAGGTTACTTCCCCAGTGGGAGCCATGGTTAAGGGGTTCTCCTTTTTCTAACTGTTGCTAAAGGTTCCTAGCATTTTCTAAGCATGTAAAATAGGCACACACATATTTACTGACATATATGTCTGCACACATATTTACCCAAATGATGTGAAACATATGGCTCCATCATTCTTAAGGACTGCAATTATACGTTCTTAAAGACTGCATATTTCAGTATATGAATGCCCCATCTTCTATTGATATCCATTTCAGTGTTCCCAGTTTTTTTTCTGTACCAAGAAACACTACCACCAATAATACACAAGAAGACTTGTTTGTTTTGTCGACCTTTTTATTTTATGTTTGGCAACTTGAAAGATAAAAAATGATATCTGTGTGATTCTAAATCATAGTTCTCTTGTTATGAGAGATTGAGTCTCATTTCATCTGTGTCAGAGTTACTTGCATTTCCCTTCCTGTGAACTATCTAGTTTTGTCTGTTGTCCTTTGCTGAATTTTCTAATGAGTCTTTGTTTATTATCTTTGTTGAACTGTAAAGCCCTTTAATATGAGCTGCAAGTATTTTCCCCATTTTTGGAAATTGTCCTTTGATTTAATTTAGACAATATTTTGCCATATATATGAAAATGTACACATTGTTTTTAGTGCTTCTTGATTTTTTATCATACTTCAAATTACTTGCCATATATTCCCTCACATAATGCTAGACTTTAAAAAAATTCTCCACCCATTTTCTCATACTTTTGTGGGTTTATTTCCTTTATTAAAATTTTTAATTCATCTGGAATTTACCTGGGTGATTAATGATACAAGTATGTGATTTTATTTTATTTTACAGATGTTCAAGTATCCCAACAGTATTATTGAGAAATAATATTTGGATTTCTTTATATTTTTATTTTTATTTATTTATTTATTTTATTTTTTTATTTTTTTGAGTTGGAGTCTCACTCTGTCGCCCAGACTGGAGTGCAGTGGCCACTTCCGGCCACCGCAGCCTCGACCTGCTGGGCTCTGGCGATCCTTCCGCCTCAGCCTTCTGAGTAACCGGAATTACAGGCATGCACTACCACGCCCGGCTGATTTTTTGATTTATTGTAGAGATGAGGTCTCGCCGCCCAGGCGGGTCTCGAACCCGCGGGCTCAGGCAATCCACTCACCTCAGCCTCCCAAAGGCGCGGGATTACAGGCTGAGCCACCGAGCCTGGCTCAGATTTCTTTATATTTTTAATATCACCAGAGCTGGATCACCAATTGTATTTATTTTAATAACGTTATTTGATCATGTTAAGAAGATATAAATTTATGACTACTTCATTCAAAAATTGCTTTTAACAAAAATGTGTTTCTAATTTTATTAAATGCTTTTCCAGCATCTATAATCAATAGTTTTTCTCTTTTGATCTCTTACTATTATGAATTATATTAATTGATTTTTCCATCTTTGCATTCTTGAAATAAAATCAATTTGAATATGAATCTACCTTGTAATACATTTCTCCATTCTCTCTGAGTAAATTCAACTTACATTGTATGTGAATAAATGATATTGTTCTAAAGCATGTAAAGTTTTTCTTCCTTTTTTTATGCTTTGAATCAGCTTAATTACATTGAAATTATTTGTTCCCTAAAGGAATTTATTTTAGAATTTCTCCTATAAACCTGCTGGCCTGATACTTTTGAGGGAGAACTTTTAGATTATCCATTCTTACCTTGCTTCCTCCTTCCTTCCCTCCCTTCTTCCCTCCTTCACTTTTTTTTTGATGATAATAAGATTTCCTGAAGTTAATGTTTATAATTCATATTTTTCCAGAACATTAACCATTTTATTCTGTATTTCCAGATTTTTAATAAGTTCTTTTAAAATTTTAAATTTTAAAATTTATATTATATCCCTCTTCTTATTTTATTCATTTATGCTTTTTCTCACTTTTCTCATCATTAACTTATTTTTCAGTTCATTTTTCTTGCTGGTGTTTTCCAAATACCAGCTTTTAGATACTCTGCTGTTTTTCGGTTTTCTAATTCATGCTCTCTAATTTTATTTTATTTTATTTTATTTTATTTATTTATTTATTTTATTTTATTTTCACTCTGTCACC